TGAAACCGCACAGAATGTGACATGGAGCAGTCACCACCCTGAGCAAGGCCACCCATCCCCACCTCCACCTCCACCTCTACCGGAGGAAGAACCAGGAACCACCCACCGACAGACAAAGCCACAGACGCTGTGTGTTGTTGACTTTTCAAAAGTGATTTTCTCCGTCGAGTAGTACATTATAGCTGGCCGAGAGTTATGCCGCCTGGCATGCCATTTATTGGATTACACTCCACTCCACATTATGCTGCTCTTCCCTCTCCCAGGGAAACGCAATTGCAGACGAGTGCAGACTGTACTTGCAGGCAAAAGAAGAGACTCATAAATCAGGGATTGGATTGAAAAGAAAACTATTAAAATAGCAATTATGCCAAAAAAAGAAACGGATAAGCTGCTGGAGCAAGAAGGCTGACCGACGTAAATCCCTTGTGAGCCGAGTGCCTAAATAAATATTGGCAAAGTCCCAGGACAAACAGAAACCAGGAGCTGGAGGGGTGGCTTCGCTTTGGGTGTGGGCTTGGGCTTGGAGCGAAAGCCGCGTGTCCTTTGTGTGAGAAAGTGAGTGTGATAAGGATTAAAAAGCCGGTCTGCTGCCGTTGAAGGTGAAACATGCAGCTAAAAGTGCTAAATAAATAGGGGAATTGCCACCACAGACAGACGGAGAAAATGTATTCAAAGTGTGAAAGGATTCTTTGTGATACACCCAAAGAAATTGTGCCAAGTGAGGGTTTATTTGAACGGGGAATTTGATACTATTTTGCCTGTAATTACTTATAAATAAAACTGTACATCTAGCTAGATCATTTTCCATTTCCCTAACTGCGATTAGTTTATGAAAAGTGGTAGGAAGTAGGTTGAACGATTTAGCTGGCCATTTGAGCCATTAACTAACAAGTTATTACTTAAGGCTGAGTAACTGCCACAAAGGGCTGTTATTCCAGCAACTCTCCGCATTTTGTTGGCTGACTGAGAGCCGCCAGTTGGCGGTTCATGGCGTTCCACGTTGACCAAGTGGTCGTTGCCCCAGCAACCAACATTTACAAACAGGTTTTCGCCACACCGCGTTCGTACGTCATTGGCGTTTATCGTTCCCGTTCTCGTCGTGCCGCTTATGCTTTTTATACCCTTCCAGGGTATCATGATTTCAGTCAGTCACTTGCAACGCAGTGTAGGAGTCATTTCCGACCCTATAAACCATATATATTCTTGATCAGGACGAACAGCCGAATCGATCTAGCCATCTCCGGCAAGAATCTATTTTTTCCAAAATTTTCAAAATTTTATAAGGGGTTACATCATTAAAATTGTCAAAATTTGATAAAAAATTGAATTTTTTAAATTGTAAAACCCAGTATAAAGATTTGTAAGCCGTAGAAAAACTAGCTTGGAAAAGCTTTCCGAATTGAAATTAATGCATTTTTGGCTTAGTTATACTATTTTAAAGACTTTGAATTATGCAAAATATTAGCAAATAGTTAATCATATGTCTAACTTCATGGGTATACAAACTTCGGCTCCTCGAATTAAGCTTCGTTTCTTCTTGCTTCTGCTTCTGCTTTTGCTTTTGACTTTGCAATGGCCATGAACAATGCAGGCAAGCTTGCAACAGGAAGAGGAAACAGCAGCAGCAGCAGGACAAACAAATAATCATCAAAGGACTTGGACGCTCACTCCTCTAATTGCGAGTGTGCCAAACCTAATTGCTTGCAAATATGCGCCCCAGCTGCTCCTGCTTCTGCTTCCTCTCTGGCATCCATGGAATGTTTTTCATTATAAATCAACGAAAATCGAGGGTAACTAATTTCGTGTACGGCCTGTTGAGATCTCGAGTAGAGCATCAATTGCGCATCGAAATGTTTGTACTTTGAGCGGAGAGTAAATATTATAAACTTTAACATTTTGCACACCCTTCCTAGGCGTTTGATGGCGAAATTGGAATACTTGAGCGATTATGCTCACTTGAGTCTAATTCGCAATTTGCCAGTGCAAACGCAATTTGCATGAAAGGTTAATCAAGCTCTTTGGCCAAGGGAGTCGAAGTACCGGACCTTGTACGGAGCGTGTGCAGACACCCCGAAGTGATCCCGAGCGAGTGTACTCGCATAATTGAACAATTAAAGTTAATTTAGCTTGATCCTCGCGATCAGAGATCCCTCCTCGATCCGATAAGTATCTGAAAGATGCCTGGCTGGCTTCCGGCTCCGTTTGAAAAGAGAGAATCAGACAACAATAACCCAGATGTCGACAGCTGTCGTCGCCGGTTCAGCAGAAGATTCAGCAAAAAAATGGAATTTCAATTTCTGCTCTCTTTGCATAAACATTCTGAACACTCTGTGGGGCCGGGCCAAGGTGAGGTTTATTATGACAGCCCAGCATATGCATATATGCATGTATGCCCCATAGATAACTCCCAGGTGCGCCAGGTGCCTGTCTGTGTTTGCTCAATGGCCATTGAATGGCGTAAAAGCAATCGATTCGCCTGGCAACGCACAAATTGGCATGGACATGGTCGTGGTGTCGACACCCTGCCAAAAAGCGGAAGTCTATGTTTAGGGAGGGGGATGCCTCAACCCTGGGCGGGACCGGAGCTAGGGTTAGGGGTTGCTTAGAGGAGGGATCCCGATCCCGAGCCCGATCCCGAACCGCTCGCGGCTTGTTTGTTTGCATCTCTTACATTGTACTCGCCCCGGGTAGCGGCCTTTGTTTGGGTTACCTTTTTAGCTTGTAATTTATATATTTTGTATACTTCGATTGTATTTTGCCGGCTATCAAAATAAGAATTATATGTAGCCGAGTGGCGGAAGGAAGGTGAGGGGTTTCAGTTTGGTTACGGGGTTTCCAGGCGACGCCAGGCCCAGCCCAACCGAGCCCATTTGCCATGCTCTCTCTCAGGATGCCTTTGTTTGCATATGTTTGCCCACCCGCCCCTCGTTTCAGTTTTTGTATTTTTCATTTCGTTTCGTTTTTTATGCAGTCGGGAGGAGGAGGAGGAGGCAAAAAAGCCCAAAGCCCAGACCGTGTCTGATGTGTAAGAAAACAGCCCTCTCGCCCTTCTGCTGCTGGCTTGTGTGTTGTTTACGCCCGAACTCCGACTCCGACTCCGACTCCGGCTCTGGCTCCGAGTAGAGTTGTTCCCGGAGACCATCAAACGGTCCGTGGAACGTTTTCAAGTTGCGGAAGCAATTGCGCGTGCTGAAGTTGTCGAATGCCTCGAAAACTCGAATGGGAAATGGTGAAATGCTGCCGCAGCACAAAGGCTCATGGAGTTGGGAGATGCATCTGTGGAGTACACCGTGGAAAACCCTCCTTTGGAAACCCCTTATCCCTGAGCATTTGACTCGGTTCGTTGGCGCATTTCAAAGCCCGTGTGGGTCCGTCAGAGTTTGTTTGCTTAAGCGCTTTAAATTAGAGCGTAAAAAGTGTGAAACTCAGCGCGGTGAAGCTCCCGGCAAATGCTGGACCCGACCCTCTGCTCCTGGACCCTTTTTTATTTATGGCGAAAGAGAGTAAAGCCTTTTCTGAACTGCCTTCGAGCGTGTCCAACCTATTGCGGTTCGGGTTTTATAGTTTTTAAGCGGACCACGCCTGGTTCTCGGCCATATAAGGCAAGCTCAATGTCGCGGCAATTAAAGATTGCACAAGATACAAGTTCTGGAACTAAGCTAGCTTACAGATACTGTATCTCAGAGTGGAACCAGGGTGATTCTGGGTGTGGTGTCTATTCTAGGTAGTATGTAGTCATCCATCGGATTAGTTTCACTAATTGCTGTTCGACTGCCGACCATTATAGTGACGCTGCAATCTCGTTAGGGGAAACTATTATGGCCGTCGCCCGAGGGTCAGAGTTCAGGTAGAGATCACTGTTGCAGCAGCACCTGTACCGGATTAACCTTAAGTGAAGGTTCTGCTCTCCAGGATCTACCTGAGCACCAAATTATTTCATTGTTTTATTAGCTTTTCCCCTCTTAAACATGAAAATTCTGAAGGGACAAAGGGAAGCAAACAAAACTAAAGATAACATTTCCACTTGCCAGACCTGTCCGGGGTGTTTCCAAGGAAAATATGGAGAAGGTGTTTGGAAATTTGTAAAATTTGGGTGGAAAGCAGGGAGAGAATGAAAGGCAATAAATCTTTTGTTGCAAATCTTTAACAAAATAATAGAAAAATGGGGAAAAGATAAAGAAAATTGCACTTGTGCCTGGCTGAATTCCAAAAATATTAAGCTTTGTTTTACGGATAGAAAAAATGCATCGCGAGGCAATATAATTTTAAGATCGTCTCCCAATCTAAGAATTCCTGAAATTTCAGTTAAGTAAGCCATCCTAAAAGGTTTAAGTGAAGAAAGACTGAAAACCTTTCAGTGAGATTGAGTTAGAAAGCCAATCTTCTGAATTTTTTCCATTAAATTGGTATTTGATTAGGCCGTTTTTCCGTTTCTTTGGGACTAAGCAAAGGGTTGGAACTGTATCTTTAACCAAGAAAAGTCTTGAGCCAAAAAGAAAAGTGATTCTTTATATATTCACAAAAAGTAAACAAAACCTGGAAATACCATAAATAGAAAGCGTGCCGACTGAGGCCAAGAAAAATCAATCTTGTTCTGCAAAACGTATGGGCCTCGGACGACAGGTGTGTGGGGTTGGTACAAAAAAAGTTACAAAAAAGAAGCGGCAAAGAAGAACTTAAAAAGGGGAAAAGCTAGCCGCCGTTTAGTAGCCCAACAATGCTAAATAAACAAAGCTGAGGTGACGCCTGAGTGAGTCACGGTCACCACCACCACGGGAACCAGTGCACACACCTTGTAGCCTAAGCTAATGCCAAAGCGGGACGGACAGTGAGACGTGCTTTGGGCTCCAACTGGGGGACTGAGAGCCAGAGAAGCCGAGCGAGAGAGAGCCAGAGAACAGCGCCCCACCAGAGACGGGAGGCATGTAAGTGTACTCGAACCCATGCTCTCTCTTCCTAAAAATTCCACAATAATAAATAGCATAAATATAGTTACTCACCCGTTGGCAGGATGGCGTTGTTCTCGCGACGCCAGGTGATGGTGGGCGTGGGATAGCCGCTGGCATAGCACTCCATCTGAACGCTGCTGCCCTCGCTGGCCACGATCGACTGCGTGGAATTGTCCGAGATGACGGGCGGACGACGCACCGATAGCTTCACCTCGGCGCTCACTTTGTGCACCGTGGAGATGACCACTTGGCAGGTGTAGGTGCCCGCATCGGTCTCCTGGATATCCTTGATCTGCAGCTTGTACGTGGACGAGTTGGGATCGTAGCGCAGGGAGAAGCGCGAATCCTTGATCACCAGCGTCGATCCGGTGGAGAGGAAGACGGGATCGCTGTCGGTCTTTAGGAAGAGCACATTGTACTCCTTGGCGTACTGGACGGAGCAGTCGAACTCGACGGTGCCGCCAATGTCCTTGATCTGCTCCTGTGTGATGTACGAAATGGTGGGCGTGCGCTGGCCCGCCGCACCCTGGAGCAGGTTCAGAAGCAGGGCGCTCCATACGCAGCCTAGTAGGTTCTTTGGGCGCCACATTTCGTCGTCGTCTATGTAGATCTCTGTAGCTTAGCTAAGCGAAGCAGCACCACACCCTGAATAACGCGCGGTATTCGAGATATATAATTTCTCAAGACTTTTCAGCTGAGCAAGCTGCGCTCCAAAAGTCTGAGAAGAGTGGAGAGCGTCTCCAGAAACAGGTATCGCCGTTTCTTTCGCTTGCACTGTTAACGTGGATGCTGGCGACGCGACTCCACACTTGTCGGCTCACTCTAAGCTGGTTTCAGACTCTGCTCTCTCTCGTACACCTATTCTCTCGACGATCAGTCACGAGCTTTTTGGCCAAGACGGAGGAAACGCGGCGAAACTGCACTGTTCGAATGTCAGAAAGCGAATAACTTGAGCGGTGTGCAGGCGTTAAAACCTAGGCTTTAAAAAATGCGCCGCACCATTGTTGCCAAGGGATGAGGGGAAATATCGATGAATCGATATTTGGTTCACCCAAATAGCGATCTGGTCACTCTGAATTCCAAAGCTGTTACTTAACATTTTACAAAGTACATGTCTAGATAGCCATTTTACACGTTTACAGATACAATTTACAGACATTTTAGCATCTGCAACCCAAAAATTATCTCGGATAATTCTTGGATAATGTTAATTCCATTATCTGCTAGTATCACTTTTGACACTGGTATTTAAATATATTTAACATCTTACTTCTGAAAGTCTGGCAGCATTGCTTTTATCTAGATGTTTCAAAAAAGTCCACCAGATGTCGTACTAATCAGACAGGATAGCAGTTCCCAAACTGGGCGTCCTGGTTTAAAACTTCGCTACTAGTGCTGCGAAATGCTAAAAATATAGGCGCGCTGTTTAAAAACTATACATTATTGAAATCAAATTAATATCTGTCTTATATTTCCCCATACATCGAAAATATTTTCATTCCCCTTTGAATTAAAAACAACTAGGCTTGTGATTGTTTAAAATGCATTTTTATTTAGTTTTATCTTTTTTGTTAATATTCTTCAGTAGTTATTTATGTATACGTTCTATATAAATGTCGGATTCTCTCTATATCTCGTCGTGCTCTATTTGCATTTACGATTATATGGTATAACTTTTGCGGTATGAATGCATATTATAAATGGAGATTAAGTATAAATCGAAACGCAGAGAACGTTTTAGTTTTCAGTGTTTAACATTGGGTTTGTTTTTTTTTTACTGTGGCTCAAATATTTTTCATTTACTTTCTTTTTTTGTTCGCTTCAATCGTATCTCAAAGTGTGTGTATATAAGTTTTAGCGTTTAAAGCTGGAAAAGCATCGATATAAAAACGTTTAAAAGCCCGATGCTCCTCCAACCTTAATTTAGAATTTGATTTTCGGTTCTCTCAACAACTTTCTAGTTTAGGTTTAAGTTTAAGTTTAAGTACGTAATGTAAATGTCTATATCGTATTTGTATTACGCATACGTACGTGTTTGATTTTCGGTTTTTTGTTAAGTTTTGCTGGTAATAAATAAGCGCGGGCCGCGCGGACTTACAAAATCTAAAAGCCGAGAATTTCAAAGTCGCAGAAACCTAAAATTAAAACGCCATACATCTCTCTTATTGCCAATTAGCAGTACGAACGTGTACGTATCTTGAAGTGATCAACGAGATTCAAATGTTTGCAGTACCACTGCAAGTCTTACATATTCATGTTTGCTTCAGTAAAATAATCATACATCCCGTAGGAAGAAATCTACGGCTACGGCTTCATAAAATAATAATAAATAAATTGCTCTAAGTCAACGTATATATGAGTTAAGGTAAGGTGTAAGCTAAGCGAGAGTTCGTCCTCCTCGTGCTCCGGCATGGTATACTGGTCCACTGGCGGCGCGATGTCTTCTTAGTTCTTCTGCGAATTAAGACTCCATTGGGCAAACTGCTCCTGCCATTGGCTATTCGCATTTGCCTGTGAATTGAGTTAAGGAAACTGGTTAGATCGAGTGACTAAGAGCTGGCTCGCTGGATTAATCGTACTCAAGTTAAGAGGTCTCTGTGGCATGCAAAGTGGCAATCAACAACTACACTAGCTACGGGATATACATAGATATATAGTATATATATTTTATATATGGTATGTTTTTTATCGAGTGCATTAAACAGAGAGATATAGAGAGGAAGATAAGGAACAACATCTAGAGCAACAGAGAGCGGCAATTCGTGGCGAAACCCTTTACCTTTTCGTTCCACTCTTGGTTATACGATTGAGACTCGTCGAAATCTGAAATTGTATCAAGGTTGCGGTAAACAAATACATATAAATACTGGCTTTAAAAGGCACAAATCAAAGTCAAGATCAGACAATTTATTCGAATCCGTTTCGAGTCAAGCAGCCAACGTGAATCAAAATCTAGGGACTAACTAGGATGGGCAGAGACTGAAATTGTTCGAGAGCTGAGTAGAGAGGCGATTGACAGTGCAGCGATGATGAGAATGCGGCTAGAGATAGAACAGAGTGGCTCCCATACTAGAGACTAGAAAGATCTACCTGCCGTGAGACGAGCGAGTTAGGATGGTCTAGAGAGGCGGTTGATTGCACGTATACTGTATATATTTTACCTGATCGGAGAGAGTATATATCGTCGGGTAAACCTTACAAATTCAAACTATACTTCATGATATAAGCGTGCATGATCAGCTGCAGTTCATCGATTGTCTCACCGATCTCGTGCAGCGCCGGGAAACCGGCCTGCTCGTCGTCGATGAACAACTCCGGATGGTTCCTGTAGCCCAGGATGCGATTCACCTGCGACAGCTCCTCGCCCTGCCCGAACGTGTAATCGAACTGGTCATCTTCGGCCCGAATGCTATAGGGATTGGGATCGGTATGATAGGGGGCGGCAGCTCCCTCGCACTCGAGATCCTCGTCGGTGCGGAAGACCTCCTCGTACTCGCGGCACTCGCAATCGTTGCACTCGCACTGACTCGATCCCTCCGACTCGCCGCCCTCGATGTGCCGGAATTCTTGATCGATTTTTGGTTTAGAATTCGGTTTTTTGGACGGAAGAAACGAGCAAAAATTATAAGGGGATACTAACTAAGCAAACAGAGAAAGAGGAGGCGGAGGATCTCAATATTTGCAGCACTTTTTCTTGTGCCGCCGATTGGGGAAATAATCTAAAACCAAAAACGATTCAAGGAAACGAAACGAAACAAAACGAAATGGAAAAGAGGTGGCTTTAGGGAACCAGCAGCAGCAGGAATGACAACCGGGACAACTTACCCAATGGCAGGATGAAGCGTGCCTGCGGCAGGGAGCTCGACAGCTGCTGGACAGCTGGCGGAGCAGCCCTTCCCCGTCCTGGAAATGGCGAAACCCAACACACAAAAGAAACACACACGGCATAAGCACAGAGAGAAACACATTCCGTTTTTTAAGAGGGGAGCAGGGAGGAGCAGTGGTGGGTTTAGTGGCGGCTCTAGAAGCGGTGCTAACTACGAGTTCTAGGTGCTGTCTGTGCTGGTGCAGTGCTGACCACCATTCACGGGCATCTTCGCAAAGCGCGGGCGGAGAGCAGCAGCAGTTGCAGTTGCAGTTGCGGAAGCGATAGCGGGGTTAGAGTGGTTCGAATCCTTGGATTTACCTGCATTCAGGTCGCTGACCATGTGGGAAATGGCCGACGTTAGATGGTCGGCGGCCTCATTGAGCTCCGCGTCAGGATTCGGAATCGGATTGAGGCTGGGAATGTCACTGACATGGCCAGTGGCACTGGCAGTGGCAGTGCTGCTACGCATTGGCGGTGGCGCTGCGAAGGCGAAGCGATCAAGAAACGATTGTGTGTGTGTGTGTTTTATGGTGTGTTCAGGGTGGGTGTGTTGGTATTTAGTGTGTGTTTGTGCCAGTGGTGGAGGTTTTCCCGCACCATTGAGTGGATTCGATTAATATCTGATGTCTGGACCCAGGCCTAAACTCTCGCCAGTAAACCAATTCCTTGGAAGATCTCAAAATTTGGACATAACCGAAACCTAATCGAAAGTATCCCGCCCGCGAGTCATCCTTCATTATTCCCCCTCCAATCCCTACTCACTTGCACTTCCGTTGGCGGCGAAGGCGCTGCGCATGTCGCTGCTGATCTGGTTAAGCTGATCCAGCTGGCTCTGGCTGAAGGGTCCGTGGCCATGGACCTGCTGCTGCTGCTGTTGCTGCTGGAGAAGCTGCTGCTGGGCGGCTCGCACGCCACCGGACATCGGATGCTGCTGCATCTGCTGGGCGTGCAAGGCACTCATCGGTGAGGTGCCGAGGATACCAGCTCCTCCTCCTCCACCTCCTCCGCCTCCACCGCCTGGCATCGGTGGGGATTTCCCCGAGCGTGGACTCGAGTTGGGCGTGGAGCGGGGCGAGGCGGTCTGTTGGTTCTTCAGCATGCGCATCAGGCCCTCCAGCTGCTCCATCAGCTGGCGCCGTGAGTCCTGCAGGGCGCCCAGGTGTCCCTCGAGTTCTCCCTTCCGCTGCCGTAAGGCCCGCAGCTCGTTGATCAGCGCCGGATTCTCCGGTGCCATCTGCTCTGTCTCCTGCTGGCGCCTCAGGCGCGCTATCTCCCGCATTATCTCCTTGTTCTTGGACTCCAGTTGGGCAATCAGCTCGCGCTGGGCCCGCGAGTTGTCGGTGCCGATGGGCGTAGCACTGTCGGGCAAGTTAGAGGGCTGGCGGAGGCGGGAATTAAAAGGGTTCGGATAATCCAAGTTGACTAAACACTCACCGCTCGGTTCTCCTGGGCCAATCGGGCGGCATAGCGGGCTATTAGGCGGTGCTCCTCATCGTTGGCGGAGGCGGCGGCCACACGAGACATTGTAGTGCCACTGGCGCTGTCCAAACTGCGGCCGGTGGCCCGTGAGTCGAGGGTGCTGGAGCGATCGAAGAGGCCCGGCGGCAGGCCGTGCTGGCCCGGGTGGCCCTGATGGGGTCCGCCGTGGTGGCCGGGTACGAGGCCCGAGGGGTCCGAGAAGCCGTTGTGCGAGGGCAGCGGCGAGGGTGGCACGATGTGCGATAGGTTGAGCGTCTTCTCCGGCTGGTCGGGGAAGCGGGGTAGCACCTGCGCCGTCTTCTCGGGCACACAGCGGAAGCTCTTGCGCAGCGAGTGACCGATCTGTTTGCTGGGCGACTTGTAGCTCGAGTACTCCTTGACCTCGTGATCGTTCTGGTGGTTCAGCGATGTCTTGCCGTGCCAGAAGCACTCCTGGCACAACTGGTAGGCGTGGCACCGCTGACAGCGATAACGAAACCCGGTGAAGTTTTCCTTGTGGCAAACAGAGCAGACAGTCGGATGCACAATGGTCTCCACAGTGGCCAGCCGGTGCACCAGCGGCAGCCAGACGAGACAGGACGGCCCCGGCTCAGACATAAGCGTGGCCATAAAATCGTTCACCGTCACCTTGTTCTCGGCCGGGAAGATCTCCTCCTCGAGCCCCTCCTTGTAGTGGAATGTGGGCGACTCGTACACGGCCGCCGGCAGGGCCAGCACCTCGCGCAGGAATTCGCCCAGTTTCCAGGCCACCAGCTGGCCAGCGCCATCCGAGATCTGCGAGAATATATCTACGAAAGTGGGTGAGAGATTGGCTTAAGAGTGCATTACTAATGTAAGAACCACTCACATCTGAGCTTGTCCACCAGCTTGCCGGAGCACATGGTGGCCAGGGCCACTTTGATAGAGAAAACGCGAATTTTTCCCGAGTTATCACTGCAAAAGAGGAAGGCAAAGTCATTGTTGAACGGAAAATTATCCCAGACATTACTCATACGCTTACCTTGTGTAGGCAGCCAACAGCCAATTGAGCAGCAGACCTGCCTTGGAGTCCACGGGCACCTGCTGGGCGGTGGGCAAGCGCTTGTTGAGATTGTGATAGAGCGAGGATACGAGCGTCTCCAGCCTGGCCACGCTAACCTCGCTCTGCGGCTCCAGGGTGTTCAGGCCATTCTCGCGGAACGCCTCGATAACGTTCCATATGTCCACTAGATGCAGATTCGTGGACTTTTGTATGTAGCGCAGCTTGGAGGCTGTGCGATAGGAGGCGAAACGGATGGAGTCGAAGGTCTGCAGGCGCAGGTCCTGCAGGATGGCCACACGCGGCTCCAGCTCCATTACTGATGATGCGACGACTACAATACCGATATGCCTGCAATTTAATTAAAATGTGTGCATTATAATAGCGATAATCGTAAATAATAATAGTTCTGGGCGGCAGCTAACTGGGTCACTGATGGTTGGGGGGTTTTTGGGAGTGGGAATGCTGCGCTGAGAGGAGCATTCAAAGGCCCCCATATGGACATAGGGACACAAACCGAACCGACACCGCATGGGGAATATGCTCGCCCACCCCGTTTTTACTTCATCCATTGTGTTTGCCGTCTGGCTTTGACAAGGCTTGTTCGTTGTGGATGCACTGGGAAAAGCGGATTGAATTGGGTAATAATAAATGTTTATAATTATTACCAATGGGTTTCGAGAACTCTTAAAGGCGAAGATCTCAAAGCCTTAAACAGATGTCTTCAAATAGTAGAGGTTTACTAATACTACATATTATATTGTATAATATGCCATTTTAATCAAACCCCTTCCTTCATCCATAGAAATGAATCATACGGAAAGAAATGACTAATTTGAAGCAAGCTCGACTGGATTCCTTATTTCTTCAAGTGTGTTTCCCATAGTCTAGCGGCTGTTGTTTCTGCAATCCGGCGAGGCAGACAGTAGGGACTATCATCCTCCGCCGCCGCCGCCACCGCTGCCTGCTAACCCCGGAGCTAGTTAGGGAAACAAAGCGAATTTAATAATCCGCCTACGCGCTAAAAGTTTTCGCTCCCATTCCCATAAACCGCTTTTGCCAGTCCAATTAATCGACAAGGATGCCCCGCTTGCAGGCAGCATCCGCCTCATCACATCCTTGAAGCATAATTCCACGTCAAAAGGGTGTCGACAACTCCAGAAGTTGCTGTCACATCACGCTTCTCATTCCCAACTTTTCGCAATTGATTTTCCATCTCTCGGGAGCGAGAAAAAACTTGAAATGTCCTTGGAAAAAAAGGAGAAGAAAGCTGGAGGACAGAGCAGGGGTAGCCTCTCAGTCTGAGTCACCATTGGAACGTAATCAGAGTACGTTCTGGGCGGATCTGGTTGCTATTTCTGTCTCACAATGCCAACATATGTATGTCTCCATCCACGTCCTGCTGCCATGTCCTTTCAACATCCGAGAGCTGGCCAATTTAAACAAGTATTCTCATTTAAATGCCGCTTCCTTTTCCTGCCGATGCCGCTGCCCTCTGTCAACTAAATGATAGTGTTATTACAAGGAGAGCCAAAATGTGGTGACAGCGGATGGGACGGAGCTGAAAGCTGAAATTGAATTTCCAAACTGCAAACTATGAATGAAGCTGGAGTAGAGATGATGGAAACGAAGATGATGATGGCAGTGGGAATACACTGGGAGAAAGGATCCTAGAGAGTGGCAGAGACTTGTAAATTGGTTGAGAATATGGGAAATTCTGAAATTGCTTTCAAAATGGTTGAAATTTCCCCTTAACTTGGGTTGTTTACGCTTTTGCCATTTCTTTAAATATATAGAAATGCCTTCAAGGATGCCATTTTCCCCTCAGTGTTGGTTATGGCAGCCTGGGCGTCTAAAGATTGAGGATGATGACTCATAAGGCTTCACGTGCCTCGGCTTTTTCTGCTCCTCGTTCCTCCTCCCCACTTGGCCAAACGAAATAGAGCAACAACAGCCGTTAGGACACACATAAATACCCGCACACATACGGCCACCCACACCCACACCCACTTCCTCATCCCCATCCCCATCCCTATCCCCATCTCCATGCCTCTGGTCTCACACTCTTGAATTCTTTGGGGCACGGAGCGAATGCTGCGAGCTTGGCAAACATTTGCGCTCGAAAGTATGCAACAAGACCTGGCTGAATAATTTGAGTTTGGTCAGGATAGCGGGGCTCCAGAGGAGGCGGAGAAGAAACAGGATGAGAAGAACGCTCCACCCCCCCCAAAAAAAATGAGAGGAGGGGAATTCCGCATTGCCAGCGGCTGCTGCAGTTTTTGATGCTGCCACTCGCCCCGAGCGTTGACATCCTGCTGCTGCTACTCGCATCAGCCTTCTGCCAAGTTGCCACCACCCACCGATTATACCAGCAGGGAGAGAAAAATGTGAAGATTCAGTAAGGTTTTTAATATTAAATTAGAGTTTTAGTTAGTGTATACTTAATATTCCTAATTAGACTCGGAGGTACTTTATTGAAAACAAGCTAATAATTGTCGGTTTTGAAATGGTATTTAAATAAATAGGATTCTATTTCCTCCAAGTGTACCCCAACGAGGTCAAGAAGGACAAGAGGCGTGTGCCCCTATTCGTGTCATCCAGAGATCTCTGCACTAAAAATTCTCTTTTTACCCGTGTCAGCAGCATATTAAATTCCATTGCAAAAGTACAAAACACCTCCTGTTCCATTCTGCTCCACTCTGCTGGGGATTTACCAATTGTAACCGCAATTGTTGGCAGCTTTTGTTGTGGTGGCTGACCACCACCGGGCAGGCAGCTCAATTCATGCAGATTTCTTAGTTGTTTTACATATTTGTGCTTGGCCCATTGTTAGCAATTTTACCATATAAATAAAACAAGAAGGCAGCCAGCTAGCCGGCAGGGAAACTTTTCTAATCGGAAGTCCTGCTGGCGACACACTCTTGAAGAAAACTTTTCCCCACAACTTTAACATGTAAAGGATCAAACTGGGTGTGTGCTATGTGTGTCAGAAGTAAGAACCTCATTACCGGCGAGTAGCCATCAAAACCAGATCCTAACTATACAGTCTCAAAGGGTAAATGGAAAGTCGATATTTATCAATATTTTTGTACAAATCAATGCTTAAAAAACTCATAACTCAGCCAAAATAGCATTAATTCCAATTTGGAAAGCTGTCCTATGCTGGATTTTATTAGGGTAACAATTCTGCATACTTCATTTAAAATCTAAATTTTTGCCAAATTTTGACAATTTTAATGATGTAACCCCTTATAAAATTTTGAAAAAATTGGTAAATTTATTTTTTTATCCGGAGATGTCTTGATCGACTCGACTGATAATGCTGATCAAGAATATATATGATTTATAGGGTCGGAAATGACTCCTTCACAGATTAATATTAAAATTACCTCCGTTAGGGTATAATTATTAGTTTTCCATTTATTGGGACCAACTCTATGAAATCATTTTCACATGCAGTTGGATAATCTCTGGAGTTTCCAATATAGTTAGCTAATTAAAAAACAACTGACAATAAAAACACAAGCAAATCCAAACGAGTTACTTGTTTGAGGAGAGTTTTCCCATTGGGACAGAGGAAATCAGCACTAAACATTGTAAATAAGCATCATGTGGCTGCCTTTTGCGACAATCAAATCACAGACTGTTGGTAATTTCTGTTATTTTATACATAGCAGCAAATAATACTCCCCTTTAATTACTCTATCTGATAATGTGCTCCTTCTCCTGATGGTCTGAATAGTTGGCGCTCCAATCATCCATCACCTGCACCCAGCTGACCCCAGGTGAACTCGAAAAGAACCCACGGGATACGGGACACGGGGGAGACAGGTAAGTCAGCGGGGAACTCACGTTGATGCTCAATTTACTAACTGAGCAGAAAAAAAGGAGCATAAAGAAAATATAGAAAAAACGACGAGCAAAGCGGAGGAACCGCACGGATGAAATATGAATAGCAACAAGGACGATAGCGTGTCCAGGACCTGCATCAAAGTTTCCCCTTTCCACCTTCCTTCCATCTTTCACATTTCCCCCATTGCCGCAAAGCAGAAATTAAACAAGTTTCAGTTGAAAGTCCTCCGTGTCCTGGGAGTTCTGGGAGTCCTGGGTGCTGTTGCTGTTTTATGCCATTTGCGTGCCAGGGAAATCAAAGCCAAACAACCGACTCCAACGATGATAACCACCGGGCACATAATTTGCAATTTCAGAGCCAAAGAGAACGCGAAGGACGAGGCGCAACCCGTTCGTTCGCCTCTCCAGGATTCGAGCATTCCCGTATCCCTCGTTTTCCGTGTTAATTCCGACTTTTCCGTTTTTGTTGCAACAGGACAGCAGCAGGAGATTGCATGTCTGGCCGAATTGATCAGCTCAAATCGCCGGCCGTGCAATAACCTTTTGTCCAGGTGAGCGAGGCTCGAATAAGAGCTAAAGGTGAGGCTAACTGGAACTGCAAACTGCAGAGTTAATTGAAAAATTGAGCCCAGCCAACTAGAGTGGATGCTCTTTTTGTCATAATTGATGGCCCTGCAATCGAAGTCCCATAAGTTTGCTAAGCTTATTTATGCAGAGAGAGAAATGAAGTAAACGAATAATGTGAAATTTAATCAACAATTCTGTAGTTAGAGAATATTTAAAGAATAAAATCAAAAAGTGACACCTTGTTTACATTTTAAATATTTCAATAACGTAAAAAGGTTTTCAATAAGTTGATGTTTCTTCCTAATATTTATTCTCTCTGCTGCAAGCTGTCAAAGACAAACTAAATTAGTCCATGAACACAACAAAGGCTGGGCAACTAGAAAGAAAACTATGCTCCGGACTGGAAGGAAGTTGTGTCCCAGTTAGAGGAGCCAACTGTCATCAGCCTCGTCAGAATGCGCAAGCGAAGTAATTATGTGTACAGCTCGAAATGGGAGCATTCAGGAAGGGACTGGGACTGGGACTGGGACTGGGACAGGGACTAGGATTGGGACTGGGACTGGGACAGGGAATGGAAGTGGTGTGGGGTCTGGCAAGGATACGGAGGAGTGGCTCTGCGCCACATACTGTGCAACTCGAATGGCAAAGGCAAAAGCAAAATGCACATTCCGCGGCACACAAAGAGCCATTAGTTGTCGCCGCTCAAGGATTGCCAAAGGCATCGAGTGTACACACATAACATATATGGAAGTATATATAGGAAAGAGCTTAAGAATCGGAGCTGGGCGCTTTGCTTCAAGTTCTAGAGGTACTCTGAAGAGTTTACTGCCGCACATAATCCTCGGGATCTAGTGGATTTACCTGTCCGCACTTTATTCGCAGAGCAGGAGGCAACAAAGAGCAGAGAGCTGACGGCAATGCAGATGATGGGGCACCAAGCCGGATCGGATTTTCCCACAGCCACAGTCACTGCCTCAACCACCTGGCCAAGGTCAGGGTGCAGATAAAGCCCAGTTGATTTACCTTGATAAAAAAGAGGAGGCTGCGTTGACCGGACTTGATTGCATTAAACTTAAGCTGTCAGCTGAATTTAAAAGGCAAGCAATCGCACAGCGAGAAGGTAAGAGTTTGTCTTGTCTAATATTCATGTTTATAAAAACGTTAATTATATGGTAGCTTAGTATACACTTGCTGGATATTAATAGTTTAGTCAGAAGCTTAAAACGCAGTTAAGGAACCATTTCCGACCCTATAAATCCTATATATTATTGATCAGAATCAACAGGCAAATCTTTCTAGGCATTAAAAAAAGAACAAACATTTTCAAAATATTACAAAAAATTCAATTTTTTTTAATGTTCAATTTAGTATGCAGATTTATAGAAGTAAAAACTTGTGCATTATTTAAAAATGGAATGAATGAATGAATTAGAAAGTTATAGATATACTTGAGACTATAAATACTGAGAATAAACTTCATAACATGTAACAAGCAAATATGGGAAATATTTAACCTTTATATATCAAATCAATTGATAAAATGAAAGTTTCCTCGGGCAATTCCATATTCGACGAAACGAACTATATACATAAGTTATTATTCCATATGAATCCCTCGCAGCGGTTACGCATTTGCTTAACGTCAGGCCTGCCACCTGCCACCTGCCACCTGCACCTATCGACACCCACCGCCCACTCATTAATAATTGCAACTAACCCACGTGAAATCAACCAGTTGAGCTGAAAATTCCACTCGAAATATGCAAATTATCAGCTGAGAATTGATTGCAGTTAGAGAATCAGATACTATATAGGCAGATATAGGCAGAACCCGGGGTGCGACAACCGTTCAGCCATGATCCATCGATGACAATCCCCTGTATAATTAGCACAGATGAGCAAACGATTCGCGGTAAATATTTTCCACTTTATCAACCGAGTCACGCCCTATTTTCGGCGATTTGTAAGAACGTGCGAATTGTGGGGGAAAACCGCAGGAAAAACGAATATTAAAAGCGACCTGAGACTCAAGAATTCGGAACTCGAGCTGCAACAATTGTAAATAGTCAGCTAATTGGCCAAACGGGTCGAAAATCAGCTAGACAGAGCGTCGCACCGAACTGGGCCAAAGTCTTTGGCACGAAACCACTAAAAAGTGGTCTAAACGAGGGGGAATGGTAAACTTTTTCTCTGGACGGCTTGATGTAAGCGATTATGGGAAAATTTTTGGTTTTCTGTTTTCTGTTTCAGCCCCTGCCCACGCACACGAAATCTTTTACGAAACCAAAGGGCAGGCGCCGCCACAGCACACAGAAAACACCATCAGCATCGTAAACACAATGGTGTGGGCAGTTTTTCCCATTTCACGATACATTTGGAGGACGTTCCACTATCTCACGGGCGGTGATAACGATCTGCAATGCAAACAGACCGCAGCCGATAAGATATATTCCGATTAGCCGAGCGAAACCACGTTAGAACGTTGGAAAATTGTGCAATTTCTGTTGTTCAGCTTTCTTGTTTCTTCTTTTTTGACATTTTTTGCACGGAGAAACTGGCCATGTCCACGACAAGCGATACAAAAAAAGTGCAGTCAATCAACTGCAACTGAAATGGCAATCGAAATGGGAATGGAAATGGAAATCGAATAGCTGTCCGAGGGGAAAGGGAACCCAACCCGGTGACAAAGAAAGCCCCACAAATCAATGCAGGCCAGGGCTAAAGGCGAAAGAGAGGCAGTCTTCGAGTCTGGTGCCTTTCTTCGTGCTTTCTGCATTCACATTTTGCATAAATCTATAATGAGATTTGAAATGCAACTGCCACACATAATGTCTCTGACCACTATGTCTCTGACCAATCAATGGAGCTTAGGGGAAATACCAAAATGATGATATAAGTGCATTGCAAGGGTATCGAGTAATCAGCAAAGGAATATTTACGGTATTTAAATTGTTGTTTAATTGAATTGTAGAATATATATTCCCGGCAGACAATCAAATAAAAGCCCAAAACTATCTCAACTGATTCTCAAATATATTAAATATCCCTCGCGTATACAATACTTAAGTTATTTTTCCCATTGTCAGCTAAAGCGGAAGTTGGCCGCCCAACTTATTTGCTAGCCGCCGGAATTGTTTACAAACAAAGAGCGCGAGATGAAACGATTGCCATATATTAACCCCCACCGCTGTCGATCAGTTTTCCATATATATTTATATATAAACAATCTAGTTGGCATTTGGCGCTTTGAGGCAGAAATTGGAGCAATTGTTCGGGGCAATTATCAACATTTTGGAGACTAGAGAAGCTTGCTTTCCGCGCACAGTAAAGTCCATCATGTGAGTCCTTGTTGTGTGTGTGTATTCCCTCTGACGGATCTCCGCCACTAGCCAGGGATCATGTGCTACGGCAAGAAGTTCAATCCGTTCTACATTGGACCCTTTCCGGACAGCGCATGCGGGGACTGCCCCTATGGCATCTACTCGGGATTTACGCGTTGTGGGTGGACTGGCGGGAACGGACCCTTTGGCACGACCTTTTATGATCCGAGTTACGAGTCTCCGTGCGAAGACTGCTGTGGATCGGGTTGTAAGCCATGCTGTGATCCCGGCTGTGGGTCATGTTGCGGTCGATCGTGTTCTTGGTTTCGTCCCTGCTGTAGTCCCTGCTGTAGTCCTTGCTGTAGTCCCTGCTGCAGTCCGTGCTCTCGTCCTTTCCGCAAGTCCCGCAGCGGAGCAGACTGCTGCGTGATGTGCGGCAGTGGCTTGGGCTGCTGCGGCGAGCCCTGTCGCAAGTGCTGCTATCCCTGCTGCTGAGGAGGACACCAGTTCCCGTAACTCCCTGGCTTATGGACTTTACTGTGTGTGGTTAATTGGTTTCTTGAGCAAAATTTATTGTGAATCACGAACAATTATGTCACTGACTGCCCCCTGGGTTTCTCCTCTAAAAATAACCAGATGCTTAACGCTCCACTCGGCACCGAGCAAGCAATCCCCTGTAATGGCATTCCCATACATGACTGCCCCTTGACTGAGGAATGTCGCTGTCGCTCCCGATACATATCCCATACATCAAACGAGACCTGGAACGAGGGGGGCGGGGGCGCCGCTAAATGCGATTACAGCATAAACGATTAATTTTATTGCATTTGGCTGGGTCGCGGCTCTACGGCCGCTGGTTCTTGTTCTATAAACTAATTAAAGCACAGTGGACAGCCTCGGAAAAGAGGCGACTTCAAAGCACGAGGGCCCACAGGCAAAAAAAGGGTTAATTGTGCGCTATTCCCCCACTATTTTCCTATTACTTGCACTTGGAAAAAATGTTTTCGAAAAGAGTACAATTTGAAATAAGGCAAGCTTATTTTAAAATAACTAATAACGAATGTTTACAGATCGAAAGTAGTAGAAGTAGAATACATTTTTTCTTTCCAAAATGTTTATATTTTTTTGATGATCAATCCCATTTACATTTCCAAGTGCAGTTGACTGACATTTTTTCCTTCCGTTTGCATTTCTTTTTCAATTTTCCCTTTGTTTCTCGGAGATAACCGGAGCAATGTTTTTTGTAGGCCAAAATTACTCCATGGCTGGTATTTATGTATGTGGCCCCAAGTTCTTGCTCTCCTTTTTAGCGGTCTCCAGTGCCATTGTTGGCCATGTTGCCATGTTGTGGGTGGCCGCACTCAACTTTGTTTGTTTTCGTTGCCCCCGTATCATCTACGTTATGTTGTAGTGTGTGTGCGTGTGTTTTGTCGCTTGGCGTTTTTTCATGTCACGCCTCATTTAGCTTTTCACAACATTTCCACCCACCCAGCGACGGAGGCGGAGGTGCAGGCAACGCGTGTCGCCCTGAGTCTCGGAAATATCTGGGGATCTGGAGCAGTGCTTCCCAATGCTCTCCACTCGCTGCGTTCACTCTTAGCACACATCAAAATTAACCGAAATAACTAGCGGGTTGTACGGACGGATGATGCGTGTTTGTATCTAGGAACTAGATCGGGGCCCCGAGACTGGAATGCGTTTCCCCTTAATGAGTCTCAACATGTTCAATGTAATTGAATCTGATTGGAGCTCGAGGGAAATGATCAAGAAATGCTCAATAAATAAGGAAAGAGATGCATTTGAAGATGCTTCTTACTGTGTGCGTAATGATTTATAAAATGAACTGGAAGCCCTGGCAATAAACAGATTATCACATAGAATAAAAACTTGGTCAGATATAATGTAAGCGGTACCTGGCCATTCCTTATTAGCCAATCTCCCCACTGGTTCTGTGATTTATGTAATCGTAAAATTAAATGATCGTTCAAGCTAAAACACAGCCCGCAATTAACGCAATTGAAATCTGGCAAATTGTTAGCACACTTTCTTAGGGACATCTCGCCCGATTTGCGTGTGATTTATTGCGCTGTGATAAAAGCAAATGCTGGCACACTCAACTGATTGCGATTGCTGGCTGATAGCGGTGAATAAAATGATCTGAGCGAAAGTGAAACTATATGATAAGCAGATATATGTGTTCATACATATATCGAAATACCGCGACGATCTATTTATTGCCCGTAGGTGTTGGAATGCCGAATGACTTTGGCTTCGGGCTCGAGCGTCGGCTTCTGATTCCGCTTGGACTTCGGCTCAGAATCACCTGGCACCTGCTCCGCTCGCGCTCTCGCTCTGCCCGCCCCCACACGCCCCCTGTGTGCCCCAGTGCTCGCTCCCACCTAGGGGACTCGGTGGGGTGAGCAGCAGCAGCCGCCGTTTTTCAAATGCTAAAATTGGCGATTAGTCAAAATGATGTCACCGAGTTATTTTGATTGTTTTCTTTTTATTATTTGTATATAGTTATTTTGCTTGACTTTGGCATTTTGGCGACATGTCGACCATAAATTCCGTATTATTGTTTTTCCCTTGCCTGAGGTGCGGAAAAGGCCAAAAACGATAAGCGATAAAACTAAAACAATGACCTATGGATCAACGACTGACTGGCGTGTGTGTAGGAGTGTGTGTGTAAATTTTCATTAGCCCGGGAATCCAATTATTTGCTGATTTAATCATTCCAACCCGCCCGCCATATGGCTTTCGGTAACAGATCAAATCTAAGTGAGTATAGAACTCCGTCTAAGCAAGCACATAGAATATGGAATGTGGCAACATATTAGATAATGTAGGGAAGGGAATGGAATCTTAATTAATACGGATAAGCCAGTACCTGATAAGATCTTAATAAATATGACTAATATAGGAAGAACATGTACTAGAGTTGCTAGGAACAGCAGGGAATGCTAATACATTTTTAGTTAAGTATTTTCAAAACCAAGTTTATTGATATTTTAGTCTTGAACTTGATTAAAATTTGCAAAAATTGAAATATATCCAATATTAGTATATAGATTTTTCAAGATTTTAACAACCACTTTTACTGGAAAATATTTGCTCTCCTAATTAACCCATTTACCTAGCATTATGCAAAATAGGGGCGTGGCGTTACAACTATTTTATTTGCATTTCACATATCTCCGAAACAACAACAACTACAACCGACATCGAAACTGACAACCAAAATATTTGTAAACTAAACAGCAGCAAAAACAACAACAAACAGGGTCGTGCATTTAGCGGAGGGGGAACGGGGACCCCAGACGCTTTTTATGAATGAACATTTTGCGCTGCGTCGGGCCAACACGTCACTCATTTCTGCTGGCCAATATCGTGAAAATCTACAACTACGCATTGGAAAAGGGGGAAAAATGGGAGTGACAAACCCGAAAAACATTGCCTTTACGGCTGTTTACCTCTCGTAATTAGCAACCTCTATGCGTCACTATTTCGTGTTTCTTTTTGGCTGCGCGGAGTCTCTTTCCTCCCACTCCTTGCACCTTCTTCCGTCCGTATGTGTGTGTGTGTTTTATTTCACCTGCTGTTTACACAATAACTGGAGTTGCGAAAATTCTGCTGCCTTCCAGCGAGCCAGAGCGGGAGAGAGCGAAGATGCTGCGCCCTTTGACCCGTGTACAAAATATGGCAACGGAAAAACTTCTTTTTTTTCGGCCAACACGCATACACACGCAGGGCACGGACGCACTCAACACACTCGCACACACCGCGTAAGCCGAGCTTTAAGCCGCGCTTTAAATTTTTTCTTGCCAACACCTTTGCGCGACTCCTCGTTTATTCCGAACGAAGATATATCTTATCACCGATTTTGTTTACCGAGAATACATAGCTGCGCGACACTTTGACATTCGACCGGTTGGAGAAAAAAACAACAACTAGCGATGTACTTTCTTCGATAACCACTTTTATCGTGTTATCGATAACTGTCGGTAGTGTAGATCCTAAGGCAACTAAGCACATTCCAAGCAAATTAAGCAGTTCGAACTAGTTCCAATCGGCGCGAACTAGTTACAAGCAGTACAGTTTATTTTATTTTTGAAAGATGTGGCAACCATTTTTTCTTTTTGAATTTTGAAAGAGGAACAAATATATTTGAAATGATTCATTTGATCTTTTTCATTATATTATTGGCCTAGTTTGAACATGTCTGTGGGAAAATTCTGCCAGCTTTTTTTGGAAAGTGATGAATTGCTCACAGCCCAAATGATTTCAGATTAAATCCAATTTCTAATCAGCTTTCTCCTGCTCAGCCGTGGCTAATGTCTGGTTTAGCCGTTCCTGACGCGCTCGCTCTCGGAGTTGGGCTGTTTTCAACGAGACCATCAGCTGCGTGGAGTTGTAGAGCCAAGTTCCCTGCAGAAGTACAATTTTATAAGCCCTTGTACACAATTTACTTTGCGTTTACTTACGATCAGCAGCATGCAGTTGAGGAGTATGGGAATGGAGAAAACTGTGGAGATAAACAGTCCATTGCTATCAAAGTATTGCTGCTTGGAGAAGGAGCTCCAGTTCTGGGCCGCATACTCATTTATGCTCTCCGTGAAATAAACCGCCAGCACTGCAGATAACAAGGAAAACAATTAGGTTAAACTGCTGGCGGTCCCTGCAAATCCACGTACGCAGTACTAGGAACAGGAAGACCTGGAAGTTGGTGTTGTTCCGGCTCAGCAGGGCTGTTGTTGTGGTCAGGACATGGACCACAACTAGGCCAATCAGCCACGGATCTGTCCAATCGATCTGAAACATGCATAATTGTTATTAAATGCCAGCATATAAAATATCAAATAGTAAACACCCACGCTGAGCAGAAATGACAAGTAGCCGGTCACTTCATTCACTTCCATTTGACCCGGATGCATGGTCCAAATTTTGTCTTGCCAACACTTTTCCTCGTTTATGTCGAACGATATTATCACCAATTTTGTTTACCGAGAATACATGGCTGCGTTGAAAAAAAAAACAACAACTAGCGGTGGACTTTCTTCGATAACCACGTCTATCGTGTTATCGATAACTGTCGGTAGTGCAGGTCATAAGGCAACCACGCAGATCACAAGAAAAATAAGCAGTGCAAAATGTTCCACGTCGGAGTGAACTAGTTCCAAACAGTACAAAACCAGCTGTTTAAGGCACCTCTACACGTTGAAATACAGGCTGCATCATTCTCACCCCTGCTTGTCATGCGGCTTGAACGTCTCGCATACGCTTTCGCCTGACTCAGTAGACACAACATTAAAAACGAAAAATATCACAAAGAATTCTTTGAAAAAACATTCAAAATTGTAGTTGAATCCAAGCCAACCAGTTGTGCAAGAGACGTGTGAGCACAGGGGCCGATATTAGAAGGAATCTTCCCGAACGGAGCCCTAGATGTGGCATTGTCCACAAAACTCTCTCGCTTAGAGCAAGTGGAAGTGTTGGTGGTGCAGCAGCAAAAGCAGCAGCAGCAGCAGCAGCAGCAGAAAAGTAGCAGCAGCGTTTTCTGGCCGAGATCAGAGGAGTGTTTAAATTGGAGCCCCGCATGTGGACACGGACTTGCCGACGCTGAAAGGTTACTCCGTAACAACGACACGTAACGGCGAGCGGTTCAAGGACGCTCGGCTGAGACTTAGCGCTCAGCGAAGGGGGACCCGCAAGAGCCGTAGTGCCCGGGCGCTAGGCAAGCCGAAGCCCCTGTCCTTCGGCAGCTGGGTGCGCCGCTCCTCCTTCTGGTCCACCAGTGTCCACGCGCCGCACGCCCACGTCAAGCGACTCCTGCGAAAGATGGCCGTCAAGCAGAACAACAGCGAGGCTGGCGAGGCCTCAGAAAATTCCGGAGGCGGCGGGAGCGGTCTGCCCCCCAACGCGAAGCCCAGCCCCTCGAATGGATTGAAAATCATTGCCGATGAAAACGCCGCCACCGAAGGCATGGAAACAGTTTCGCCAGCCGGCGAGTGCTCGGGCACTAGTCGCCAGAGCAAGCGCGACTTCAACACGCTGCTAACCAACCTGCAGAGCCTGGAGCAGGCGGAAGAGACGATCCATATGTATGAGCGGGTGATCGTGGACCTGGCGCGCATGCAGTTGCCCAAGGGGTCTGCGGAACTGAAGCGCTTTAAGGAGGACGTGATGAAAGTGGGCTCCTATCTGGCCGCTCGCAACGAGAAGTTCCATCAGATGTTCTACCTCCGCGTTGTCTACGAGCTGATCACCAAGTCCGCCTACGATCAGGCGCCCTCGTGTGCGGTGGCCGTCGTATTCAAGCTGTTCGACAACAACCAGATCCTGGAGGCGGTGCACTCACTGTTGGAGCAGAACGTGCACGATTCCAGTATTCGGAAAACCGTGGGTCTTCTCTGCGAATGGATAACCTACTGCAGTTTCTGCAGCAACCTGAATCTCTGGGTGATGGCCCTGCTCACCGGGTTGCAGGATCAGGGGAAGCGTGCTCTTCTGGACGAGATTGCGCTGGACAACATCGATAAGCTGTTCCACCTACTCGTCATTCCGGTGCTGCGGCCAAAGGCCGCCCCGATAGTTTTCCACATGCTGTCGACGACTAATTACACGCCCGAGGTTTTCCACAAGGTAAGTGCTTCCACTAGCACTACCTGAGGTCGTCCATTAATATTTGGTGTTGTTTTGCAGATATTGCCAAAGATCCCCCGTGTGCTGCACTATATAAATGTACAATCGAGCAAAGTGGACGAGAATGTGCTGGAGATTCGCAACTGTCTGCAGCAGCTGGTGGATCTCACCAGCGCCCTTATGCTACACTTTCATGAGCACGACGAGCTCTATACGCCGGTTAAGAAGGCGCTGCAGACGTATAACCCCTCGCCGAACTGTGTGGCCTTGGCGCGAGCCATGCACGAGAGTGCCCAGCCGTGGGGTCGGCGAAATGCGCGAGTCGGTCTGGTGAACCTGGGCAACACCTGCTACATGAACAGCGTGCTCCAGGCACTGGCCATGACAACCGAGTAAGTGCATATTAAGCCCTTCTGCTGATATCTGAGGCTAAACATAAATATAACCAGTGGTAGCTGTAGGAGCAGCAGGAACTGCTTATGTTTATGGTATTAAATTACCAATTCGATTTGCTTTTTACTTTCCTCGTAATATTCTTATACCTTATACTTATATAGCTCTCCTTGTTTGTACAATTTACAGTTTCAGTCGGCAGATTCTGCTAATTGAATGCGACTCACTGCTACTGTTGAAGGTGCAGCAACAGATCGCCTTGATGCATCACTCGCTGCGCTACGAGTTGACGCCGTCACGAGTGCTAGACGCCACCCGGCCGCCTGGGTTTGTGCCGGGCCTGCAGCAGGACAGCTCCGAGTTCCTAGGCCATTTGCTCGACCTGCTGCACGAGCAAGAGATCAAAAGCTCCTCATCGGACGGTACTGCAAAGCCAAGCAGTTTGGATAACGACGACTTGCTCAACGAGGACATCGTGACCAGCGGTGTGATACCCTACAACAGCAATGATCATGAGCTCAGCAGCGGATGCAGCCGCAGCAAGACACCTGCCACTCCGACAGCAATACCCACCACAGGCACAAACGGCAGCTCACAGCTGCAGGGACAGTCGGCGGGCCTTCCACAGAAGCTAGCTTCCACCATCGATAAGACTTTCGCCGGGAAGCTGTCAACCACCTACCGTTGCCTAAGCTGTGGCTGGGAGAGCCGTAATGAGGACAGCTTCAGGGAGCTTCAGTTATCCTTTCCCGACGTCAAGGACGACTGCGGAGCCACTAACTACTCGGTGCAGGACCTCATCGAGTATTTCTGTTCGCCGGAAAAGCTGGACGGCGACAATCAGTACCATTGTCCGCGGTGCAAGAAACATTGCGATGCGGAGCGACACATCGGGGTCACTCAGGCGCCCAGGAACCTTATCCTCACGCTCAAGCAGTTCAAGTATGACCAGAAGTACCACTACCGCACCAAGCTGATGCACAAGGTGTTTCATGACGAGAGTGTGAGTATCTGCAGAGCTTTGTTTTAAAACCAAAGTATCGTCTTCGTGCTAATTTTGACGTTTTTTTGGCCCACAGGTCACGGTCAAGCTGTGCGCCACCGACTCGCTGCAGGAGATGTCTACGGTGCATTACGACCTCTATGCCGGAGTCGTGCACTCTGGGTTTAGCATGGACTCCGGTCACTACTTCACGTTCGCGGCGGATCAGTCGAAGAACTGGTACAAGTTCAACGACAATCTGGTGACCCACTCGCAGCCAGAGGAGATGCACAACCTCACCTCGCCCAATACGCCCTACATACTTTTCTACAAGATGTGTGCTCGCTCCAACGAATTAAACGGTGCGTCCTCCGCAAGCTGCAGTTCGAGCATAAACGGAGGATCGGGAGGGGGCCATCATATGGTCTCGGTGCCGATGTCGCCGCCACTGACGCTGGAGGAATTACCGCGCCAACTGCGCGACTATGTCAAGAAGGACAACCATATGTACAACGAGGAGTTACGGATGCAGCGCTACAAGCGAGGCGCCAGCGGCGGGCACAATGGATTCGTAAGCCGTCACAGCTACGACGGCGACGGGGATGACGACGATGATGACCAGGATCTGCCGCCGTCCGGCGGATGCGGTGGCAACGGTCTGGACATGAACATCAATCGTTTTGTCTACTGAGGTGATCAAGAAGAGCAAGGGGAGCGTGCAGACTTTAGGTCTTCACTAAACTACACTCACACACACACACATATATATATTTATATATATATATATATATGTATATATATATATATATATGTTTATCCACTTTATAAAAGGAAAGCGCATACTAATCTCTAAATGTTACGTACAAGTATATATATATATATATATATATATAGAGCCGATCGAGAAACACATGATACACATGGCTATAACCGCGTATGTGGCCGCATGTGCTCTTCGTCGCTCCTTCGGTGCGCTCTTCCGTTGTTTTCCATAATACACTATTCCCGAAATCACCAAATCCAGTTCCCGCTTACTCCCCCCCACTCCACTCATTCATAAGCAAAACTATAATTGTATTGTTATGATTTTTTTGTTTTTGTTAACACAAACCTAGTTTTTAGAACTAGCATACTTATATATGCGTATACACATATACATATACTGATACTGATAACAATTAAAAATGCATCTGAAATGGCCAGAGAAGCAAGAGAGATAGTGAGCGATATACTCGAAGGTATAAGAAGACCACTAACTTCCAAAGCAGACAAGCAGCTAAGTCAGGGAAGACACTTGATTCAGCTCTGAGAGGACATCATCACAGCGAACGGGGAGCATTAGGGATTTGTACTAAAGCGCGCTGGTTAATCCCCACAAAACAACGTATTATTACTTTTCCTGTTGATTTTTTTAAAACGAATTTGTAATCGATATACAAAACACCCATGAAAATTCATCTCTTTCGAATCTGGTGAGCAGAGATCGGCGATCGACTTTGATATTATTGCAATTAAATTGGAATAATTTCACAGAACCTTTGTATATGGTGTATGTCTATTGATAACCAAAATCTATAATATATGCTATGCTATAAGAGTAATAATAAAGATAAAAAAGACAAGCCAAGAACCGTTAAAGTGCTTATTTATATTATATATATATATTCTTGATCAACATCAACACGCAAATTTTTCTAGCTATATCCGGCTAAAAAAAATGTTTCAATAATTTTTAATTTTTTTTAAAAAGGAAGGGTGACATTAAAATTTTCGAAAATCGGCCAAAAATTCACGTTTTAAATGGAGTATGCAGTTTTGTTAACCTGCTAAAAATTAACATACGACCGCCTTCCGAATTGAAATTAATGCATTTTTGGCTTAGTTGTGAGATTTTAAAATTTTGATTTGCCGAAAAATTTCATATAAGAATAAAGTTAATATCGATTTAAAAAATGGTGATGCACCTTCAGTCAGAAGCTTACAAGAAAGTGAAGGAGCTATTTCCGACCCCATAAATCATATATATTCTTGATCAGCATCAACAGCCCAATCGTTCTAGCCTTGTCCGGTCGAAAAATAAATTTTTGGCATTTTTCCGAAAAATGAAAATTTTATAAGGGGTTACATCATTAAAATTGCCAAAATTTGACAACAAATTGAATTTTTTAAATTTGAAAACTGAGTATGCAGCTTTGTTAATCTACTAAAAACTAGCATAGAACAGCTTTCCGAATTAAAATCAATGATTTTTTGGCTTAGTTATGAGTTTTTTAAATTATGATTTTTGGGAAAAATGTTCTGTTTTTATACCTTTTTTCGGGTTTTTATAATTTTAGTCAGAAACTTATAATAGCATCAACAAACGCAGTATGCAGATTTGTTAGTGCTATAAAAACTTGCACAGAAAAGCTTTCCGATTCAAAATTAATGCTATTTTGGCTTAATTATGATATTTGGAAAACTCAGATTATTTAAGAAAATTGTCTGTTTTTATACCTTTTTGCAGATTATAGCTTCAGTCAGAAGATTAAAACGCAGTGAAGGAGTCATTTCCGACCCTATAAACCATATATATTCTTGATCAGCATCAACAGCCCAATCGTTCTAGCCTTGTCCGGTCGAAAAATAAATTTTTGATCTTTTTCCGAAAATTGAAAATTTTATAAGGGGTTACATCATTAAAATTGCCAAAATTTGACAACAAATTGAATTTTTTAAATTTGAAAACTGAGTATGCAGCTTTGTTAATCTACTAAAAACTAGCATAGAACAGCTTTCCGAATTAAAATCAATGATTTTTTGGCTTAGTTATGAGTTTTTTAAATTATGATTTTTGGGAAAAATGTTCTGTTTTTATACCTTTTTTCGGGTTTTTATAATTTTAGTCAGAAACTTATAACAGCATCAACAAACGCAGTATGCAGATTTGTTAGTGCTATAAAAACTTGCACAGAAAAGCTTTCCGATTCAAAATTAATGCTATTTTGGCTTAATTATGATATTTGGAAAACTCAGATTATTTAAGAAAATTGTCTGTTTTTATACCTTTTTGCAGATTATAGCTTCAGTCAGAAGATTAAAACGCAGTGAAGGAGTCATTTCCGACCCTATAAACCATATATATTCTTGATCAGCATCAACAGCCCAATCGTTCTAGCCTTGTCCGGTCGAAAAATAAATTTTTGATCTTTTTCCGAAAATTGAAAATTTTATAAGGGGTTACATCATTAAAATTGCCAAAATTTGAAACAAATTGAATTTTTTAAATTTGAAAACTGAGTATGCAGCTTTGTTAATCTACTAAAAACTAGCATAGAACAGCTTTCCGAATTAAAATCAATGATTTTTTGGCTTAGTTATGAGTTTTTTAAACTATGATTTTTGGGAAAAATGTTCTGTTTTTATACCTTTTTTCGGGTTTTTATAATTTTAGTCAGAAACTTATAACAGCATCAACAAACGCAGTATGCAGATTTGTTAGTGCTATAAAAACTTGCTCAGAAAAGCTTTCCGATTCAAAATTAATGCTATTTTGGCTTAATTATGATATTTGGAAAACTCAGATTATTTAAGAAAATTTCTGTTTTTATACCTTTTTGCAGATTATAGCTTCAGTCAGAAGATTAAAACGCAGTGAAGGAGTCATTTCCGACCCTATAAACCATATATATTCTTGGTCAGCATCAACAGCCCAATCGTTCTAGCCTTGTCCGGTCGAAAAATAAATTTTTGATCTTTTCCGAAAATTGAAAATTTTATAAGGGGTTACATCATTAAAATTGCCAAAATTTGACAACAAATTGAATTTTTTAAATTTGAAAACTGAGTATGCAGCTTTGTTAATCTACTAAAAACTAGCATAGAACAGCTTTCCGAATTAAAATCAATGATTTTTTGGCTTAGTTATGAGTTTTTTAAACTATGATTTTTGGGAAAAATGTTCTGTTTTTATACCTTTTTTCGGGTTTTTATAATTTTAGTCAGAAACTTATAACAGCATCAACAAACGCAGTATGCAGATTTGTTAGTGCTATAAAAACTTGCTCAGAAAAGCTTTCCGATTCAAAATTAATGCTATTTTGGCTTAATTATGATATTTGGAAAACTCAGATTATTTAAGAAAATTGTCTGTTTTATACCTTTTTGCAGATTATAGCTTCAGTCAGAAGATTAAAACGCAGTGAAGGAGTCATTTCCGACCCTATAAACCATATATATTCTTGATCAGCATCAACAGCCCAATCGTTCTAGCCTTGTCCGGTCGAAAAATAAATTTTTGATCTTTTTCCGAAAATTGAAAATTTTATAAGGGGTTACATCATTAAAATTGCCAAAATTTGACAACAAATTGAATTTTTTAAATTTGAAAACTGAGTATGCAGCTTTGTTAATCTACTAAAAACTAGCATAGAACAGCTTTCCGAATTAAAATCAATGATTTTTTGGCTTAGTTATGAGTTTTTTAAACTATGATTTTGGGAAAAATGTTCTGTTTTTATACCTTTTTTCGGGTTTTTATAATTTTAGTCAGAAACTTATAACAGCATCAACAAACGCAGTATGCAGATTTGTTAGTGCTATAAAAACTTGCTCAGAAAAGCTTTCCGATTCAAAATTAATGCTATTTTGGCTTAATTATGATATTTGGAAAACTCAGATTATTTAAGAAAATTTCTGTTTTTATACCTTTTTGCAGATTATAGCTTCAGTCAGAAGATTAAAACGCAGTGAAGGAGTCATTTCCGACCCTATAAACCATATATATTCTTGTCAGCATCAACAGCCCAATCGTTCTAGCCTTGTCCGGTCGAAAAATAAATTTTTGATCTTTTCCGAAAATTGAAAATTTTATAAGGGGTTACATCATTAAAATTGCCAAAATTTGACAACAAATTGAATTTTTTAAATTTGAAAACTGAGTATGCAGCTTTGTTAATCTACTAAAAACTAGCATAGAACAGCTTTCCGAATTAAAATCAATGATTTTTTGGCTTAGTTATGAGTTTTTTAAATATGATTTTTGGGAAAAATATTCTGTTTTTATACCTTTTTTCGCGTTTTTATAATTTTAGTCAGAAACTATAACAGCATCAACAAACGCAGTATGCAGATTTGTTAGTGCTATAAAAACTTGCACAGAAAAGCTTTCCGATTCAAAATTAATGCTATTTTGGCTTAATTATGATATTGGAAAACTCAGATTATTTAAGAAAATTGTCTGTTTTATACCTTTTTGCAGATTATAGCTTCAGTCAGAAGATTAAAACGCAGTGAAGGAGTCATTTCCGACCCTATAAACCATATATATTCTTGATCAGCATCAACAGCCCAATCGTTCTAGCCTTGTCCGGTCGAAAAATAAATTTTTGATCTTTTTCCGAAAATTGAAAATTTTATAATGGGTTACATCATTAAAATTGCCAAAATTTGACAACAAATTGAATTTTTTAAATTTGAAAACTGAGTATGCAGCTTTGTTAATCTACTAAAAACTAGCATAGAACAGCTTTCCGAATTAAAATCAATGATTTTTTGGCTTAGTTATGAGTTTTTTAAATATGATTTTTGGGAAAAATGTTCTGTTTTTATACCTTTTTTCGGGTTTTTATAATTTTAGTCAGAAACTTATAACAGCATCAACAAACGCAGTATGCAGATTTGTTAGTGCTATAAAAACTTGCACAGAAAAGCTTTCCGATTCAAAATTAATGCTATTTTGGCTTAATTATGATATTTGGAAAACTCAGATTATTTAAGAAAATTGTCTGTTTTTATACCTTTTTGCAGATTATAGCTTCAGTCAGAAGATTAAAACGCAGTGAAGGAGTCATTTCCGACCCTATAAACCATATATATTCTTGATCAGCATCAACAGCCCAATCGTTCTAGCCTTGTCCGGTCGAAAAATAAATTTT